AAATAATTTTTCTTCTAATAATTTGGAGTTTTTTTTAAGAGAGAAATATTTGTACTCTGTTTTTTAATGGATATTAAGCATGCTTTTTCAATTAATAGACTTTTTTTTAATTCTCAGTTTTTATTGAAGGCGGTTATGAGTTAAGTTTTTTTTTATAGTACTTTTAATCATCTATATCTATTTAATGTTTTCAAATTTTCTTTTAAACTTAACTTTTTTTCATTACATATCTTTTTTAATAAAAAATCTGGCTAGTATTTGAATACTTCACAAATGTTATCATAATCTTTTATGCAATTACTAGCCAACTAGCCTGAAACTTTTTTATGTAAATTTATTTCTGGCATATATAAAATATATATATAATATATATATATATATATAATATATATATATATATATATATATATATAAAATATATATATATATATATAATGTGTGTGTGTTTGTGTAATATTCATGGCAGATCCCCTTACTTTATCCTCTCTCGTTTCTTATTCTCCTTTGTAGTCTTGTATTATATTATCCTCCCTTTCTTTTTCTTCTGTTTTATCTCCTCTTCATCTGTCTCCTACCTTTTACTCATTTGCTCTTCTCGTTCTTATTTTGCTTTTCCTCTGTTCTCTCACCTTCAGTTATCTTTTATTTCCTTCTTGTCCATTTATTGACCCCTTCTCAGTCTTAACGTTCTTAATCCCTTAAATCTCTCCAGACTTTTATTGCTTCCCTTGCATTATCTACGATCTTCTTTAAGTCCCTCTTTGCTCTCTCCGGCTTATTTCATTCTTTGCCAATTATACAGAGGGCACTGTCTTTCTTTATTATTTAAGTATTAGTCTTGCTGCAGTTTATGTTATCTCTCTCTCTCTCTCTCTCTCTCTCTCTCTCTCTCTCATATATATATATATATATTATATATATATATATATATATATATATATATATATATATATATATATATATATATATATATTATTTCCTCCTATTTATACTTCCTTATTCCTTTCCCAATATATTTTCTATGTTCACTTCATCCCTCCTTTCTAGTTGTCTTTTCTTCATTCCTGCCTTTCTTCACCTCACTGCTCCCCTCTTTGTAATCTCCTTCTATCTCACCTTTCCTCTCCTCTCCTCTATCCTTGTTCTTTTTCATTTTTCCTCTTCTCCTCTATCTCTGTTCTCTCTTAGATTTCTCCTCCTTCTGCATCGTCGTGTTACCTTCTACCTCACTGGCCTTCCTGTCTTTACCTCGTCTTCCTCTTCTTTTTCCTCCTATTCCTCCTCTGCGAGAAGTCCGTGCCTCTGCTTCCAAAGAAGACCTGTTGTTGGCAAGCAATCTCACAGTTTAAAACCGAAAAGCTTCTTGTCTCCATCCTAGGGATTCAATGTAATATAAAATATAAAATATATGTATTATCCTTATGAAAAATAATATTCAAAGGGTAGAATAAGAAAAAATAATTCCCGATAATTATTCTTGCCTAATCACCTGAATAGTTATTTAAAATACACGATATAAACAACTCTGAAGACCAGCATAAGAAACAGTCTGAAACTCATTTGCTGACCACCAGAAGTCAGCACAGTTTATATGTGCGAGGGTATCATCTAGTCAAAGACTAGGTCTACAGAGCCGTATTCTGTAGACACCGACAAAACAGAGACAAATTCCATTCAGTCCTAGAAAAAGTTGAGTCCACAAAGGTGGGCAATTACTAAGTCCACTCACTTTCTGGTATACTGAAGCATACTTCTTTCCATGGCTGAGTCGAGCCAGACAGCGTAGAATTAGTTAACTGCACTACACTATACTGTAAGACGCTAAATAATTCTCAAACCGAATTAATTCAATGCCAAAATATAGTGTTCTTCACTGAAGCACTCATTCTGTCCACACAGGACAGATACATCAAGAGACTAAGGCTTCTGCACAGCTGCTGTAACTTTAAAATAAAATAGTCTAAAGTTGCAGAATAACAATGACAGTGCTAATGTAAGATGTATTGATGAAAGCGTAGCAATGATTTTTGGATATCCTTCTTCTCAGTACAGTTGAAACGACAGAATACACCATATGGACATCCTCTATGCCGAAGACGCAGGGCAATGCAGGAATTCTAAGCCACAAAGTTGAAACTGTGTGAGAAAAAACGTAAGTGTTTCAATGTAAGGGAATGTTAATGAAGACAGAACACCGGCTTACGTCTTCCCCAGTCGGCAGCAAAGCACCAACTGCTCCTCTGAGCCAGTAGGGAGAATAGACTGACGAAAGTTCGACCACGCTTACCACTTGTTATTTAGAGAATTCATGCCAGGCGACACCAAGTACCTCCACCCTTCCTCTGTTACTGTTACAATATACTAACGCAAGAAAGGGTGACAATGTTGCAGTTCCAAGGGCCATTTGAAGATTGATGGTTACCACTTTTGGCAGGATAGGCTCTAAAACTAGTGAACCAACTAATCAATGACCTCAGGTACAAACAACAATATCTACTCA